AAGGAACAGAAATATTTAAAGAGCTTCCTGGTATCAGGCAAGCTGGGATCAACTACCATGCTGTCTGCCTTGTTTGTAGGGAAATAATGCTGTCATCACTGTATGAACCGATTGGAGGTATGCTTTCTAAAACTGCTCAAAGCCCCTTATCTGCATGCCTGCCAAAGCATACCTTGCAAATTTAACTAAAGTATGAACTTCCTTTCTAATCCTGTCACACTACACTTTTTCTCTTTTGTAAAAAGTGGATTATAAGTTACTCAATCTTGATGATATGTCCATCACTTTTTTATTTGTTATTCTTCAAAATTGAACATGCTCATTATAAAATTCTACTTCCTAATTTTTCCTATGACTATGCATTGTACATTGTAAAAAATATAGCATTGTAATGCATTTCCTGGAGCCAAGGAATTATGTACATAAATTACACATTAGCATGTTAACTTATTTTGACAAACTGGATTAATTGAAATGGGAATTTTCATTTATTTGAAGGATGATGTGTCATTCTTACTCTGGAAGAAATATTGTCATGCAATCTAGCAATAAGGAAACACACACACACACACACTCACACACACACACATACACACACACACCCCAATAACTAGTATGCTTCCACTGTTTCAAAATATTTAAATTTTGAACTATTCAAAAAATGTAGAAAAGCATTAAAATGAAAAATATACTTGTGTGCCCAAACTAACAAATGTATGCTAATGTTTTGCCAATTTTAAATTGTTTTCCTTTAGGAAATAAGGATTTAGGTATAAAGTTAAAGTCTACATCTCCCATGACTTATTTATTCTCCTTCCCCAAAATAACTGTCATGAGAATTTTTAAAATATGATGCCATGAACAATTTATGGTGTCACCTTATTTCTCTTTTTTAATAAAAAAGCTTGTTGAATAGTGTGTATAATAACCTTCAGTCTGCCATATGTGTCACAAATGTATATTTCCAGCTTTAGCAGCTATTTTTTAAGTTTGAGCTTGCTTGCTTACTTGCTTGCTTGCTTTCTCTCTTTCTGTCTTGGAGATTACAGATGATTTTAATATATTTTGTTCAACTTATTTATCTCAATATATACCTTTATTTCATTTTGTCTTGTCCGAGAAATTCTTTTATTTCAAAATCATGTTGACCCTCTTTCTCATTTTCTTACCAATTTTTACATCTTTGAGATTTGTAAGTTCATGGATGTGTGATTATTCTAAATGTTTTAGTCTGAATGTTTATGATTTAATTATTTCTAATATTATATATCAGTGCATGTAATGTGTATAATATTAATATTTTTCATATGTCAATACTTCTTTATGGCTTAATATATTATCAGTACTTAATTTAAATGTCACAAATGTTCTTTAGTGGACTGCCATTAATTGTTTAGGATATATATTTATGTACATAAGTTGTGTGGCTATAACATTCAGGTATAAATATGTGCATTTAAATAGTATGTATAATATATACGTGTTTTATATTCTATCCTTATAATATATACAGCATATTACACACACATAAATAGCATATTTTAAATTTATATTTATATCTGTATGCACACACTTGATTATTCAAAGTGTTTAAATATTTCATTCAATTTTCTATGTTGAAATTCTAATACAAATTTTGGTGCTATTTGGTGGTGGGGGGTCTGAGGTAACTAAGTCATGATAGTGAAGCCCTTCCAAATGGGATTACTGCCCTTATATAAAAAAGACAATCTCTCTTTGCTGAGGAAGCCCACACAAGATGATGGCCAACTGCAACCCAAGAAGAGGCATCTCAGCTGTACCTCGCCATGCCGGCACTCTACTCTTGTACTTCTCCCATCCAGAACTGTGAAAAATAAATGTTTGTCATTCAAGCCATGAATTCTATGGTATTCCACTAGAGCCATGTAAACTAAGACATATTGTTTCCTGAAAGAAACATTCTATCCTTCACCACTGTGACTTTCTATGTGTTAGTCCCTCTGCCCGGCTGGCCTCTCTATTCTGCATTTTTTGGAAAGCTTGAGACTGATCTCTGAGACTGATCTAAGAGATCACTGCATGTGTTAAGCTTATAGTCAGCTAGTGGCCTTAACCTTGGATTCTTTCTAAGACATGAAGTTCATAAAATGCGTCATTGTTCCTGAGTATCTTAGCTTAAGCATAGGCTGCCACTGCTTCTAGGTGCAGATTTATCTTCCTACCTCAGATAGCCTGAAGATGAGGAGGGCCCAGGGTAAACTTATATAAAAGGATAAGCAAACTCTTCTGAATGAAAAAAGGAGCCAAGCACAAAGAAACTTAGGTTTTTTTTTAAAGCAAAACACACAAGGATGATCTTGACTCATTCCATCTACACTGTGTTCAGCGACAACTGTGTTCAGGAACCGTGCCCAGGAATGGGGTGTAGCAGTGAGCAATGCAGGTGTGAATCCTGTCTTCCTGGATCCTATCTTCTGGCTGGGAAAACATCAAACAAATATAACTTCATTCTCAAGTTCTCACCAACCATGACTGCGTGTCATGTAACCTTTAGTATTCAAAATCAGTCAGTCGTAGCCATCCACTTGAATAGATTTCCTGGAATCAGATCTTGCCCTCTGGGCCTGCCATTTTCCAGGTCTGTTCATGGCCTGTCCTTTGCCTCCCCTTCCCTGCTCTATGCCTCAGAAGGGCTCCTACCCTATGGCTTCCACCTAACAGCAGCCAGTAGGAGCACCTAGAGTCTAGTGGAGGATAGGGGGAGACAGAAGCAAAAGTTTAACCTTTCAGGCCATTCTTGGTCCACGCTTCTTCTGATTCTCTCATGCTCACTGATCTTCTTACTTTTCAGGGCTGCCAGCACCTTCTCCTTGAACGTCTAGCCCAAGTTTGCTAATGTCCTTTATTGATTGCTCTGACCCCTGAGCTACACAGCCATCTCAGAGGCTAGGCCTCATTGATTCAGCGTGTTCTGTCTCTGCCAATCTTTGTGTTGACCCTCAAACCAGGGAAACTGGGAAATCCAAAACTGTGGCCTATCCACTGCCAATCTACATTCCACACTTTCACTGGTGTCTTATCCCTGACTTTCTCCCTGTGAAATCTGCCCATTGGACTCCCTCTAGTCATCCTGTCAGGACTCTGATTGACAAATGTTATGGTGGAAATCTTGATGAGGTTTGGTGGGAGCAAGATAAAGGCACATGGACAGTCTATGAGAGAATGACACTAATTCATGAATTCTTTATGGAGGCCATGACCCTCCTAAGGGACAAAACTTGTTCTTGAGGATAGCTAGAAAACAGATTCACCATGGCTTGTGACTCTGAAGGGCTGCATTACATAAACAGATATAAAGCGCATCTGTCCGATTAAAATTTCATTAGGTGTCAGTTAAGGAAAAGTGTCTTAAAAGTCTCCTTGGATGGCATTCAATAATGAATAAAATGATTGGGAAGTCTTTGTGGAATATTCTTCTTCCAGACCATGGGAAGGAAGAAGAAGAACATAGCATAGTACACATTTTCGTGTGGGAGATAGAGGGGCATCATCGCATCATTAGGGAGGAATGGGGGTTCCTTTTGCAGGTTTTTGGACTAGAGAATGAAGTTCCAGGAGACTACAGTAAGTGATAAACTTGTGAGGTAGGGGCCCAGCTCCCCTGTGGCATGCCTCAGAATGGGACTGCTATTGAATAGGCCAAAACTCATGCTGACAACAGGAATTAGCATTGTCTGCAAGTCTTGCTGTCAAATTTCTCCACTGAGCTTTGACCCCTTTGGCATTGACGTTGGCTGGTCCAGAGTAGGAGAGCTATGGGAGCCTCCTGGAAAGGGCTGTTATTCTTGTACCCATAGTTCACACTCCTGTTTCTAGACCAATCTCTCTCCTTCTTCCTTCTTTTGCAGGCCTTATCAATAGAGTAACCAACTGTTCCAGTGTACCCAGGATATGACACTTTCAGTCCTAAAACTAGAATCACACAAGCAATCCTGGATAGTTGATCCTTAGGCCCAAGCGAATGCTCTTTAGAGCTTCAACAGGTATGAAAATTGGCAGCTGAGCCTCTTTATCCTCAGGTCTTACCCTGAACTACTGAAGCACTTGTCCCATCACTGCCTGACACAGTGATTCCCAGCCTTGACAGCATATTACAATCATCTGGTGAACTTTCACATCTACTGCCACTTAGGCCACATCCTAGGGACAATTAAATTACAATCTCTTAGAAGAGAACCAGGTGCTCATAGCTTTTAGGGTCCCAGATGACTACCATATATAGCCAAGGTGACAGCGCTGACTTGGATCAACAGCAGTGATTAAATATCAATGTAACCATTGCCTTGAATTGACCCTCATTTGGAGGGATTGCCATTTTACAAATTTTGAGTCTCAACACATTACCCTTGATAGTTCGGCCAGGGCGCTTCAGTGGTCAGGTCATGTATATCTCCTTCCGTGAATATGTTGGAAATTACAACTACTAGGTCAAGAGTAAAAATTAAATGGAAACTAGGTGTAAAAACACTGCTTTCTAGCATTCAGATGCCTCTGGTGTTTGTCTTTTTGCATCTACCCTTTTTGGCACTAAGAACCAAGAGAGCAGGGCACTCTGAGCTTGTAGGAGTCTGTATCACATGAAAAACATCTCAGACTAAAACCAACCGGCAACACACCACACTAACAGTTCACTGCTGTTGGCTGCTGGTAGACCTCTCTGGAGCCATGTGAGTAACCTGCAACCATTCCTATCAATATCCTTCTCTGTGGTGTCTCAAGTCGTCCTTGGGGATGGTGTCACACTTCGAAAGGATTACCCGCTCATCTATGTGGTTAGCATGGAGATGTTTGCCAACATATGAAAGAAATTTTAAAAAGGAGTTAAATTTCAGCCAACATGCAGATATACAGAAAAATGTCAGCTTCAAGGGCACCTACCGAGGCATTACACAGATGTTGCTCTTAAGCCCACTGAAAATTCCTGGAACCTACCAAAAAGTCAAGCTTGTTAGTACTTTCATTTTTATTATCTAGTGATCACCTAAAGCAGTGATGGCAAACCTTTTAGAGGTTTCAGTGATAGAAAACTGCCCACTGTGGCACGCATACCATAGACCTAAACCAAATAAAAATGAAGCATCTTTGTTCTTTTACAACTAAGTATATATATATAATGTTATATTATATATTATTGATATGCTTAACTAATATTAATTAATAATATTAATAATATTAACATATAACATGATATATTATATTATATACTAATGGTGATAATACTTTGAAATCATTGAAGCACTGCATTTAACCCTGGACTATCCCTAGGTCTGGGTTGCACCTTGGTTTCATATGAACCAGTCTGAAGGATTCAAATCAAGCACCTACCAATACGTATGACTCTGAGACATCCTGCTCTAAGGAACGAGGATGGACAGCATTTCTGAACACTCTGAATGTATTAATAGTAGCCAACAGGCCCAGTACACCCAGGACAAGAGGTTAAAAAAAAACCTTGCTGATCACTCACTGTGCTAAAAAGACAGACAGAGGAGAGGCAAACAAAGGTGCACTGGGCCATCATTCCCACCTGTGGGCCAAAATTGTGGAGGAATTAGGGACTAGTTAGTGTCTGAGTGCAGTCATGGTGGCTTCTTTAAAGCCCCATGGCCACTGTCCATGCCAGAGCCCAATTAGCCCTGTGAATGATGGTTGATAGACAGTGGGATATCACCAAGTGACTATTAAACACCTTGGCCTGCATACTTTTTGGCTCAGATGAGTGATTAGTTCTTGTAATAGAAACCACATTGCTGATTACACTGGTTCATCAAAGCTGTGTCCTGTGTGAGCCTCCATGTCCATTAATTCTAGAGTACAGGGGTAGAGGAGGGCAAGGGGAAAGCAATGTAATGTAATGTAATGTAATACATTCTGGCTCCGAGTTCCACATGGGGTGAGCGTACTAGCAGATGACAGAGAAGGCAGCAGATGTGGGTGGCACATGACAGACCAACAGGCCCAGAGACAGTGGTGGAATCTACACACTCAGTCAGGTCCATTCCTCCTGCAGCTCCCAAAGACCAATTACGCCACTCCACACACCTGGCTAGAAAGTCATCTTTCCTAGAAGAACAGAAAGGAGAGACCCAAAAAGCTTAGTGATTGATTATGTGAAGGGAAACTGGGTTGCCTGTATGAAACTTTAACCAGGAAAGGTTGAAATACATTCATGATCAAGTTAGTGCATCTGACACCACTACTTCTGCCCCAAGCCTACCCCATTTGGGACTTAGAGGGGCATGAGAAAGGTTGAAGTTATAAGAAACCATTGCACCTTTAGCAGAACATACACTCTCTGTCTCTGGGTCTCCATATTCTCCATGTTGACTAGCGGGCAAATTATTCATATATTTATTCACAAATGTCCTGTTCCAGGGGCCATAGTGGATACTAGTAATTTGGTGAAAAACAATAGAGAGCATCTTCAGATAGGGCATCTGTGATTCCCACTTCCCTCAACTTTTATCTTCTCTTTCATGCATCTATAGTGAGTAATTTCACTATAGTTAGTACACTAATTATAGTGTAGTATTCATCTATAGTGAATAACTACACTATAATGTCACTATATAAATAATTTCACCTATAGTGAATAATTTCATACATCTATAGCATTATTATTCTCGTTCCTTCTTTACCTCAAAAACAGTTGCAAATTATTTTAACTATAGAAGAGATAGAGCAAAACTTCCTTAACTGTTGTTGAGGAGTAAATGAATAGAAGCACATAGATACAGTAAGACTATAGCTGGTTTGGAAGAGTTCACCTTTTGCTCCAGGGGGAATAAAAGCCCTAAGGTATTTGCTTCAAAAATAAATTTCCTGAATGTAT